GCATAAGCATCTGCAAGCCTATATATTATGGTCTGTTTTATTAGGTTCGGTCAAACCTCTAAGCTGAAGATTACGGAAAGCCTTTTGGTCCGTATCCTCCGCTGGTTTGAACTATAGGGTTCCAATCAGTATCACCTCAAGAATAACACCCGCAAAAGCTTCATCTCCCTACACGTGATCAATTTACTAGAGGTGCCATGGCGTTATGCTTCGTACGCCTCGCCGATGGAAAATTGCTCCTGGTATCAACATATTCACCTGCTTGGCTCCAGGATCCGATTGAAAGTTTTCCTACCTCGCCAGTGTGATCTAATGTCTATCATATGCCACTGGATATGTGGCTATCATGTAGCCTTCTGATCTTTATCCTCTACAGGTTTAAAAAATTTGCTTCAAATCCTTATCATCTTCGGAACTTCTGAGAAAACAACATCATTTCCATGCAAGCGCTAAACTTACTTGCGGTGCCATGGCGTTATGCTCCGTCCACCACGCAGGCGGACAACTTCTGCTGGTATAAGAATCCACACCTACTTGGTGCCATTATACCATGGACATTACACCCACATCGCCCGTGTGTTATGCAGATTTTATATCTGTCGGAGGTATATTTCCTGTGGTCTACTGCCCTCGGCCATACCTGATTCCAAGGACCACATCCTCACAGAAAAGCTTTATCTCCAAGCAAGCGTCCAACTTACCTGCGATGGTTATCTCTCATGGACCTGCCAGCGACACCCGACTGGCCAGTGGGTTATCTGCTCGGACAATGATACTGCTTGTAAGGTTAGGTCCATACTCACATGGGCAACTCGGCATCCTAAGCTTCACAGCCTTATCTTCCACCAGTACAGCTGGCCCCAACCGTGGCTGGTGAGGCCTGACTAAGCTTCCCACTGAGTCAACGGAAAACCTTGTGAGTGCGATTAGCCATTCGGAAACTCGGTTTTACGAAAGCGTTGAAAGTACCTCAATGTTAGTTAGCAGGTGGTCAATCGAGTGTTACTGGACGTAGTGGGTCCTTGCCCGGCAAACATTTTTATATAAAAAGCCACAAATATCTGTTTAACAACACTGCGAAATGGCGAAATTGACACGCCACCAAAATAAAGCCACTGCCTGAAGCTTCACATGGGGAATGCTCCCACTTTCCGATATTCGCAAGCACAACGTGTTTAGCAAACATCCTATAGGACTCCTGCGCCTAGTTTACAATGGGGATAAGTCTCCGGAACCACTTAAACCCCCACCCAGCCTTTCCGTAACAGAAACACTTATTGATCTTACGGCGCTTTGCCGCAACCTTTCTCTTTGACACCAGTGCCCATGCTCCTCATCCGTGCAGCGTTGTTATGCGAAAAATGTACACATGGTTCTAGCATTGTATCTTGCGAACAATCATCTCTGGCTTGTGGTGTACACACGCTACTAGTGTTTCGGTTGCTCTGTCGACCACTTGGTCGTGCCTGTACTGGCGTGTCTCACCTCCTCGAGGATATAACTAGTTATTTATTTATCAAAGACCCTCATTCAGCTACTGGAAGATCCATCGCCTCTGATCAACTCTGATGAGTACGTGGTTGCTGAACCAATATAAACCTATGAGTTCATCAATAGCCACTACTGTGATTCTTTTACTGACATCAACGTACACTTGTCGAAAGTTGTGTATAAACTCATCTACAAGTAACCAGAGGTTATTACTCAGACTTACGCACTATAACTAGAGTGAGTAACTTGTTAAGCTATCGTTACACATTGGGCTTTGTGGCCTTCCGTCTGCAATACTGAAGCTCGGCGGCCAAGTTTTTCTTGTATTATTTTTTTATTTATTTATGCGTTCACTGTAATGCGCCTTATACCCAGTCACGCGGAAACATTACATGTGTATCTCCAGACCTAAACGAGGTGGCAACCAAAAATGGAAAACTACCGCTTACCAGCCATACGCTTATTGATTCAAGAGTGATTGAAATACAAGTTAAGGAAGACTTACTTACTTAGCTTCCTAGTTATTCTCAAAATTATCAATAAACAGGAACACGGATTCCTGTCATCCAAAGCTGGTCTGTTGCCAAATTTTGGTTTCCTTAACAGTATGAATGCACGGGTTGATGCTAAACAAGCAATAGTCCCCATGTTCCCGAGCTTGAAAAATTTTTTGGTAGAGTACCACACGCCGCGTTGTTAGTTAAGCTTACTTAATATAAAGTAATAGACCGACTTTTTACTTGGTTCGCATCATACCTCACACCTCGTACATATTCAATAAAGGTGGGCAAATCTATGTCACACCCTAAACCATTCACAATTGGTGTTTCCCCAGGTTGTGTACTAAGCTGATTACCATTCTGCTATATATCATTACGTATGTTAGATCAATTACTATGACAAGTCCCGCCTGTTTGCGGATGACAGCAAAAGCATGGTATCATTCACCCGCCAAAGTTGCAAGCCTGGCTTTCCCAAATTCAGTGTGATCTTAGAACACAAGTTGTTTGACGCAGCACTTGGAAGCTGGCATCTTCACCTGCAAAATGCATCGTCCGCTACTAATGAAACAATGTACTGCCTAATACATTAGCGCTTCAAGGCACGTCGCTCGGTAATAGTTTCACTTTTCAGGACCCGAGCGTTCACTGATCTAGTTGTTTAAGCTTTGCAGAAAAGGTGCGGTATCACTCATCAAATGCGCACACACATCAACTGCACGTTCAACTCTACTACAATGCAAGAATCTAGAAGTACGTTTTACAAAACTGCTATGATACGGCTCTATTGTATATACTAACCCAAGCAAATGTGACAGAGTTGCCCTATAAAAAATTTTAACACATGTTTATTGAACGTCTTCTTGACCACTCTACTCACCACTCTTTCGGTAAGTGCATTGCATTAGCGCTAGAGCCTCCTTGGTTGCGAAGACTGAAGGAAAACCTCATACTTATATACTTGCTTATAAACAGAGCCACTGCGAGCTCGCCAACCACTTTCTATCATTGAGTAACCTCTCCTACTCTCTTCACAATCGAGCACACTCCATCATCCTACAGATAACTCGTAGGCGTAAGAACTTCTATGTCTACAGATTCGCGAATTTGTGCAGCGGGCTTCCACACGTTGTACGTGCATCCGTTTATGAAAAGGAATTCCATTCAGCCTGAACTAGATACCTCTCTGTCAATCATATTGCTGTGCTTTTGAGCATATCCGGTCTGGAAGTCAAGCTATAGGAAAACGGACCCCAATGTATATGGGCTCTTTTCCATCTGACCTCAACCAACCATAAGGAGCTAAGACCGCAGCCTTCAAATCATTGTTATGAATTTTCTCCTTGGATCGCTTCTTCTAGCCACCTTGCTGTTATCTGGCCAATGCGACATTATTCTAATGCCTCAACTTTTAGCACCACAGCTCTCTTCTGAAGGATTCCCCGTCCAGACTAGACTTGTTAAGCCTTTGTGACTACAACGGCTTCTGAAGAGCTCATATCCCTCGGCCTAAAACCAAGACCTTCACTTTTATTTGTTGTACGCTCCTGCAACCTTAGTCCACGACGGACTCCGCTCCTCATAGTCGTTGATTCCTTGGTGGCACGTCCTAAGCATTCGGCACCTCTGTTGCCATTTGGGCGTTTAAGCTATCGTCCGGTTCTGTTGATAATCCGAGCGCGGTTGGGGCCGTTGCCTTCGGTGTCTTCTATAGGTTCTTGCCGCCTTCGCATAACATAACCGCTGCTATTGCATCACCTACCAAGCCCTCCAATTTATCTAAACATTTGTTTCCTTACTTTTGGTCCAAGTTCGACTTCCTCCCTTATGCGTAACACTTTTGTGGACTACCAGGACTTCTTAAGTGATAATTAATCCCAGCATTACAAACAGGGCCTCCTCGATCCATTTCATCAGCCTCCAGTTATCGCCAGACATGTTTCCCACTTTGTTTAGTAATCCAAAACTTTTGGGACAGTAATGGCTCCTAAGAAACACTTGACACGACACCGTTACCAAGTTCCTGGCTTTTATTTTTCGCGTGCCCTTAAAAATTGAGCCTCGCCTACGTTTCAGTCTCAACTGCTCTAACGTCTTCAACCAATTAAATATATGCTAGCATCCTAGCATTCAGCCGACTTTTCATTCATTAAACTTCCTTGGCCCTCATCTAGAAAGCTATGCTGACACAACTGGTACGCGCACAGTCGCACTTTAGCCTCTCATGTCCTGTGGTGTACTTAAGTACCATAGCTGTGATGTTTCTGTCTTTATAAGAGAAAGCATATTCCAACTGTCTCGATGGATTTCGGTAGATCACTTTACATTAACATCGTTCTCCTAGCATAATAGTAAGACTAAATTACCTGCGCGCCGCTGAACATTAGCTTTACGATCTGACCAATTTGACCTTTTCCAGATGACGTTTAATAACGGTGGCTGGTGGGATCCGGTTCCGGATTCGTCTGTCATAATATATGCGTTATATACATGGACATTAAGACTCCAAATTTGAAGCAGCTTCATGGAAAATAATGGAAGAATAAGGGCGTCGGGAACATAATAAGTGATTTTATATAAGTAGTATGGGTATCAAAGAGACATTATGTATTGCATTTAATCAGTAGGTTTATTCTTGATGGGGAGCGGCGCACCTAGATAGTCGTGAGATGAGGTTACATGAAAAAGCAAATATTGTTCTCGAGTTTAATTTAAATTTTTGCAGAACCGAAGAAATGAATAGGATCGCCGGTAGATGAAGCAAGATGCTCGTTAGGCGAAACTTAGTGTGGTTCTTAGCGTATTTGCATCTCTGAGCAGGATGTCTGAATTAATGCAACAGTGCAGATTGAAGACTGTAAAATGCATGTGGCATAGACATTGCTCATATACACATTTGGGCGCTGTATCTTTAAAAATACAAGCTTATTTTCATCAAAATTAAAAGGTGAAATATTTTACGCTAATTTTCATTAGCTCGCGCAGCAACTTGTTGCGCGTACATTTGACATGGACGGATCGTCGGTTAATTTGCCTACACAACGCAGAGTTTTGAACCCCCGTAACACTAATCCGAATCTGTCAGGTATCACGAGCCCTATCTTTGATTCTCTTGATCAAAGGGCAATATTATGGAGCTGTGCACCGAAAGATGTAAATGCACGTTGCAATTTTCTAAATTATACGTACCCACCACAGATTTTTCATTGCAATGTTGGCGATTGCCATGCCGCAGGCCAGCTTCCTATCACATTCTTTCGCCAGATTATGGCTGGTTTGTGCCTTCCATGTTTGTTGGATGACATTACCTTCCCTACGGACGTGAAACGTCGGGTAAAACTCATCCGCAATTCCTGTCACGGGCACAGTGTGGGTAAGTCTTCATCACATTTTGACTGTAGCACAACCATGCAATGTTTGTATTAATATGGTATTCTGCTATTATTTTATGCTTCTTACACCTACTAGGCCTCCAATCGTATTATATCGCAACGCACTAGTCGTGTTTGGGCTTAGGAGCTTTTCTCTCAGGGGATAACTAGAGAGAGTTGCAGGATTTCTTCTATATCTATGTTAGGAGTTCAAGTAGAGGTCACCGATGGAAAACATTTAAACCAACGAGGGTCAAAATACTGTCCATTCTTACTCTAACAACTCACCTTGTGAAAGACTGGAACCGGTTGCCGCGACCCGTCGCTGATGCGCAGACGGAGGATTCCTTCAAACGACTACTTGATTTTAACCCTTTGAGTATGCCGGGATCGTGTTGGTTCAGCTAGGTGGGCTGCGGCCTCCGGAGTTTCCATTGCACAATGACGCGAGCATTCCAGCATTGATCGGGAAGTGATGGAACTGACAAGGGATCTCACCCCTGCTCTCTGCTACCCTGTGAACCAATAAAGAAGTTTGCAAAGAACACTATGAAAACCAAATTAACATTGCCATATAGAAGCAAATGTTAGTAGCTCAGGTGGTTTAGTTGGTGGTCTGAGTGTTCGCTGGGCTCGGCAGTTTGCAGTCCAGCTACCGAGCTCAGCGAACAGGCGAACCACCAAATTTAACATTGTCAGTTTTCGTGTTGTCCTAAAGGTTTTCGGAACTTCGGGCATACGGTTTTTTCCTCCTGTGCCCCGGTCCCAGTATATAACCCATTTGTCTATCAACAATCCTCATCCTTTCGGTGGGCTAGGCGTGCCGTATCGTAAGGCTTTACCTTGAATGGCGGCCGCTGGCCACATTGTCACTCCCTTGATTTCGGTTTGGTTTTGTGTTCATTGGAATCATTGGAATGTTAAATGCAGAAGGAAAGACCTTTGTTAGCTCCATCACTTCCCAGTAATAGCAAATGTTTGCGAAACAGCAATCAACATGTTAGGTTGTCACAGTTACTTAAGAAACAACAGGATCTCTGGAAATCCAACAAGTATAAATCCAACAATCGTTTAAAACATCCCTCAGTATGCGCTTTGACGGCGGAATTAGGCAAGATGTTCCAGTCGTTCACCACACGAGTCGATAGGGTAAGATCAGAGCAAAATCTGAGTCTCTTAGGTTTAAAGGTTTTCCAGCAGTGGCCTCAAGTCTAGAAGAAACCTTGGAGCTCGACTCTTATCCCACCTCGCAGTGTGCGCTGAGCGTAGATTAGCTCGCCTCTGCGACGCCTATGTCAGAGAGAACACATTCAAGTGCTGGAGACGAATGTGATATGGCAGGTGTCGGCGCTCAGTAATGCACCTAAAACCGCGCTGCTGAACTTTCTTAATCAAGTCATGTTCAAACTTTGTAAGCGGATGAACTGCGGGTAATCCATGTTCGAGGATTGGACGCGCATGGGAGGAGAACACAAGTCTGAAAATCTATGGAGACAATCGTGGGAAGGCTCTTTGGATAGTGCACAGTAGTGTGTTAGCCGCGGATACCCTCTTCATAGTATCCTGGGTGGTGTTTAGCTCAGAGAATACAATAACCCAAAGGTCTCTTTACTGTTTCACATTATTAAGCAAATGACCGCCAAGGTGGTAAACGTCGATAGAGAGTACATAAAATTTATCATCATTTATAGGCAGTTGCCATTTAATTGACCAATCGTGCAGCCGATCCATTGTATTTTGGAGTCGGTCAGCATCCTCAGCACTGAATATCTCTATCCATAACTTCAAATCGTCAGTATAGCTCAAATATTCGGTCCAGAGAGTCGTACATGTGTCGTTAATAATTTGTACAACTGGTCTAAGAACAGTGCCATGTGGGACGCCACTGCTCACAAGAACGGGGTGTAGTGGTTGTGATTGCACTATGTTGTATCATTGTTTTTATCATTTTCGTTACTGCTTAGTTTGTACCATTTGTTTAAATTCACAAATTTTGAATACGACAATTTCTACGCACTCGCGTCGTGCTGCTTTCGTTTGCTGCTTTCGCATCTTTCCATTAGTTGGATTAATATCTTCGGGTCGCTAGTCGGTATCGGAATTACATCGACTGAAAGAAGTGCTATAACGCAAGTGTGCTTGATTTTTTTATGTTGTGTCTTTGCATAAGATTGTCTTTTGTTCCCGCACTCGAACTCATTAGGTACCGATCCTCTACATTAATTGGTGACCACGTATTTTCTGGCAACACGTTATCTGTCTTTTCTTCATTATGCTTGATCAACCTTATTGTGAACTTATCTGAAAATTCCGTTGCCTTTTTTTGCTATTCTTCGATGTGTCGAACCCACGTGATTGGTTTATTCAACTGGAATCTATCTTTCGTTTCCGTAAGATTATCTCGCAGTCTACAATGTTTCCGTATGTTACTGCCCATTTGCCTACACACTTGGCTTCAGAAATCATCGATATCCTCGACCCTCGTCATCATCATCATCATTACACGTTAGCTGGAGGTGGAAAACACCTCAGCTATTGGACCGCAATACAAAAGACAAGAAAAGGAAAACAAACAGTGGCACGCCCGCTGAGTCTCCAGTAACGGATGGACATCGTTCCGGAGAGCTAACAGCTGGCTGGCGTAAAAGAGAGTCATATCATGCCTAACAAGTGAGATCGTGATTGGAGGGGGATGCTAAGCAGGAGGGGGTGGACAAAGGAACTCACAACACAAACGCCATTGGGGTCGGCTCCAAGCCATATCAGCAAGTTTGTCCAACCAAGCGTGTTCACCGTCCTTCGGACCCCAGCCAGGCAGTCGGGATGCACCAACCGACGCCAACTTCGAAGTGAGGGTTATCATTTCTCTCGACCAAGTCATCACTTGGCCTCCCCTTCTCCTCTTCCAACCACACCCACAACGCGCAAACAATGCACGTCGCGGGAGTCGGTGTGCTGGCATGCGCAACACGTGGCCCAGCCATCGGAGCCTGGTGCGTGATATAATGGTGCTCAGCGGTTCACTCGCTCTTCCTGCACCAAATACGCGACGTCGAGCACGCTCATTGCTCACGCGGTGCTCCCACCAGACATAAGCTAAGCAGCGAAGGCAGCGATGGTCGAATATGACAAGCCTCCTTATGTCTGTCGACCTGATGGGCCAAGTTTCACAGCCATATAGGAGAGTTGAACGGACGGCTGCGTTGTACACTCCGCCATTCAGGGCGAGAGTAATGTCGCGTCTGCGCCACAGGTGGCGGAGATTGGCAAAAGTACCTCGAGCTTTTGCTATACGGTTCGTAACCTCATCTTTAATCCCACGGGTGCTAATATAGCTGCTCAGGTACTTGAATTCCTAAACGACTTCTAGCAGATCACCATCAAGCGTTAGCGCAGGGTTGAGTCCCTGCCAATCTTGGAGAAGTACTTTGCATTTCGATGGAGCAAAACATAGCCCAAAACAATTGACAGCCAGTGCCAATGGGTCCAGTGCTGTTTGGCATGTTTAGGAGCTGTCACAGATTAGGGCAATTTCGTCCGCATACTCCAAGTCAAGAAGTCGCTCACCAGGAAGTAGCTCCACACCTTCTAAGTCGTGTCCAGCGAACGCTGTTTCCATGACTTCATCAATAGCGAAGTTAAAGAGGAGAGGTTATAGCTGGCAGCCTTTTGTCTCACACCGCTGGTGATACTGAAGGGTGGCGACAGTTTGCCATAAACCCTCACCCTGCCCGAACTATGCGCGTACAGCGCTTTGATAATGTCTACATATTTATCAGGCACACCTTTCCTCAACAGACAGTCCCAAAGGGCACATCGATCGACTGAGTTGAAGGCACCTTTTAGGTCAAGAAACACTGCAACGGTGGGTCGCCAATAAACATGGCGGTGCTCCAACACTTGACGCAAGGTGAAGGTGTGGTCGATTCAGCCCCGACCTCGACGAAATCCGGCTTGCTCTTCACGAATCTGACATTCACAAGTGTCAGTCAGTCTGTGGAGAATAACGGAGGCAATCAATATAGTGGCAGTCGAAATCAGACTGATCCCTCTGTGATTGTCGCACTTCAAACATGAGCCTCCCTTGAAAATTGGGGCAATGACGGGGCGGTTCCAGTCTGTGGGGACTGCCTCCTGCTCCCAAATTTTTACTAGCAACTCGTGTAAATCATCTACCAGAGCAGGTCCCCCGAATTTGAATAGGGCTGGGGGAATTCTATTTGCCCCCGCGGCCTTATGCAATTTCACCAGCCTGATCTCACGTTCGACTTCTGCGCGTGAGAGCGGATCTAAGGAGACGGCCCAGGGTGAAGGGCGCTCAATGCCCGAAGTAGAAGGCGATAACTCAGGTTGGCTCAATTGCCTTGCTACTTGTTCAGCCTAGCGCTCCAAGCGTTTTGACAGACTGTGGATCGGCTGCCCACTCTCGTCGCGTATGGTCTCGCTAACACCAGGTCTCCTACTGCCTGTTTCCCTTATCAGACGGAATAAGATGATTACCAACGGCAGCGGCTGTTTCCATTTCCGATGCACGATGAGACCACTAGGTTTCGCGATCCTTCTTCAAGCTAGCACGTAGTTTTGCCCTGAGATTTTTGCGAGCCTCATTGTATTCGCTTCCAGCCGGAATACGCCGGCGAGCATCCATAAGTTCCAGAGACTTTGTATACACCCAATGTCCGGTTTGGCAATTTGCTTTGCCACATGAAGACATGCCTGCTAACAGCAACACTTGACGAATATGCGACCATTGAACTTCAACGGTGTCTAGTGGGAGCTTGTTCAGCCCAGATGTCAGCGCACTTTGCCACACATTCAGAACATCTGGCTTCGCCAGCTGGCTGGTGTCAATCCGTTCACATCGACGTTGCGGACGTCCACCGAAACGCACCCAGAGGTCGGCACAGACAAGTGCGTGGTCAGAGTTCACGCTAGTGCTCCAAATCGAGCGACAGTTTTGGACACAGTTTCTCCAGCGGTAACTGATCGCGATATGATCGAT